GATGTTAAACTCTGTTTGGAGTAATGTAAGTTTCTTAAGTGAGTCTTGTGTAAAAGCATGGCAGCATTCCCTGTCTAATTGTAAAATCAGATCTGTTAGCGATTTTAGCCGTTCGATGTTTTTCTTCTTTTTATTTTCACAGTAAGAGATTATTTGACCTCTCAGGTAAGCCTTTAATGACTCCCAAACAGTGCTAAGTGGCATCCCAGGAGTCCAATTAACATCAATAAAAAAATTAATTTCAGAAGCAAGCATATCAACTAAGTCTTCGTCAGATAAAAGTATCGGATTAAGTTGCCAAGAACGATAGACCGATTGCATAACAGGAACGTTCAGTTTCATTATGAGCGGACTATGATCAGAAATGACTATCGCTCCATAATCACATTCACTCACTAAAGGTAAAATCCGGTTATCAATTCCATGGGAGCCTTTGATGTTGATTTATTTGCTCTAAACCCATTTTGACTGCTACTTAAACTGTTCTGTTATCAATCTCATCTGGGTATAATTAATTTCTCTAAATARTTGAAAACTGTGGCAAAAAGAATCTGTAATTTGTGAACACATTTATCACCATGCTTAAAGAGAAGAGTTACCTTAGCTATTTTCATATTATCTCGAAATATTTCTGTTGACAATGATGAATTACACGTGTAAACATCTCAATAACATAACTCATTATATTTTTTACAGACATTATATCCATGTCCAGACAATCTTTTGTCTGCAAGATTTGTTTTTAAAATATTTGTTAACGTTTTTACAGTATTTCATTGTTTTCATTTTCATCAAGAAGAATACTGTTGTCACAACCCATGACTGTACGACTTAAAGCATGATTTATATTTGGTATTTCAGCTGCAAGACTTGAGCCAACATTCATATAGTATTGATTGAATTAATTTACTATTTGACTTTGATCATAGATTTCATTGCCATCTTTTACAAAGTACTGTGAAATACCTGATTGTCCTGATCATTAAATTTAAGCTGAAGTTGCAAGATGTAATTATTACACAATAATTTACATGGGTTATTCTTTCTATTATTTCTAAAACACTTTCTTTTAATATGATTTCTTTGAATGAATAAGTTAGTGAACTGTGGTTGTCAGAGGGAGGGTCATGGTTATAAAACAGCTCATCCTCCCACTACACTGGGTGGAGTTTCCTCTTTTACTSATCTGAGGGATGAAGAGTCTTAAATCCTCTCCTCTTCCCACTCTTTTTTCCAGGTGATGACCTGGATGGTGCCATGAAGCCTACACACAAGTTGTTGTTTATCCTGTGTCCCATGCTGGTCCTGGTCTTTATTTACTACTCGTCTGAGAAGCTGCAGATGTACGTTTGGGGCCAGAAACCTCGTAAGTTACACCTCCTTTCAGTTCATCTGTAGGGTTTTTTCTTATTTACGTCATCATTCATGGCATGTGTTTTTATTGTCAAGTTCTGTCTGAAATCTGTCTGTTCTGCTTTGTGCTTTTATTTTGTGTTCGTCTTGTTTTGTTTTTTTATTTCTTTTAGAAAAGTTATGTTAGTACATACTGGTTTATACAGTTTGTTTCCATCAGAAATCTGAATTTAATTTTCTGTGCCTCAGGCATGAATGTTATAATTAGTTTGTTTCTGACATCCTGTGCAAAAGATTTGGACGCACACTTCTCAGTTGTCAGACTCAGAGAGTGGCTTCCTTAGCTTGGTTACTTGAAATGACTAAAGCTGTTTCAGTGTCTGTTAGTCTTTTTTCTTCTTCTTCTGCCTTGAAAAGAAAAGGAAATAGCATTCAGTATTTCCACTGTGGTAAAGAAACTCTTATCACCTGATGATCTCTGTGCACTTTGTAGGGTTTAAATGAGGATGGCTTTTACACTTCTCTGTAATACTTGTGCTGTGTTTTAGACACGTATTCAGATGTTGAAAAATGTTATAGCAGTAGTCTTTTTATATCAACATGACGTTTTTTATTTTGGACATGAACTTTGAATCATTGACAGCAGACTGTTTGCTGGTGACATCATTGATCTGACGTTTATTGAGGAAAAACTATCACAAGCTGTGTTTCCATTGGAAATGTGCTCAAAACTTTGTCGATATTCTGTTAATGTCGAAAAAACAGAGTTTCACAACTGCAGTGTTTCCATTGAGTAATAAATGTTATTAAAGTCACGTGAATACGTTTGTTCTCATGATAAGTCATTACAAACATGGCAGCGATGGATGTAAACACATAGCATGTTGCTACCACGACACTAGCGCTCATCATCAGAGGAGACGTC